CAACAATCACAACTATACAAATAGAACAACTACAAGACAACATCAGAGAAACAAAGAATACATGGATGACAGAAGAAGTCCTAGAACTGATGAACATAAGATCTTACAAAAATCGCAATGAATAAAAATATAAAGAAACTCAGAGAATCATCTGAAACAAAATTAGGAAAGCCAAAGAAGAATTGATGAGCAGCAAGTGTGAGGAACTGGGAGATTTACTAAAAAAGCATGACTACTTTAATGACAACAAATGGATTAAGGAAGTCACAAATACGAAGAAAAAAATCACTACAACAACTTTAGTAGATGATAACAACGAAATAGTATCTAGTCCAGAAAATGTAGGAGATATGTGGGAAAAATACATCGAAGATCTATTTGATGACGAGAGAACAGAACCACAGATGAATATAGTACAAAAAACAATACTTGATATATTAATATCGGAAGTTACAAAAACAATCAATATGGCAAAGCCACGAAAAGCCTCAGGTCCAGATGAAATATACGTAGAGGTGATAAAGCTTATCAATGAAGAAAATCTTCAGACGTTAACAATATTATTTAACAAAATATATACCACTGGAATCTTCCCAGAAGACTGGCTTAGATCGACATTTATACCTATACAAAAGAAAAATAAAGCAAATAGATGCTCACAGTTCAGATTAATTAGCCTGATGAGCCATTTTCTGAAAATTTTACTCAAAATTGTACATCAACGAATATACAGAAAATGCGAAAGAAACCTGAGCGACATTTAATTTGGATTTCGTATGGGGCTTGGTACAAGGGAGGCATTATTTGGCCTTCAGATATTACTACAAAAATGCCGAGATCAGCGAAAAGATGTGTTTCTCTGTTTTATCGACTACAAAAAAATGTTTGATCGAGTAAAACACACAGAACTCATAGAAACCCTAACACAACATGGTATAGACCATAACACTGTAGCACTTATTAAAAAACTATATTGGGATCAAATGGCGTCTATCAAAATAGACAATCGTCTGACAGCAGAATTGCTAATAAAAAGAGGAGTTCGTCAGGGCTGTGTACTTTCTCCACTGTTATTTAACATATATTCCGAAAAGATCTTTCAAAACGCCCTCGAAAATATTAAAAAAGGAATAAAAATCAACGGAGAATATGTAAACAACTTACGATACGCAGACGACACCGTCTTTACAACGACTTTTAAATGTCATAACCAGAGAGGGAGATAGCTTGGGACTAAATATAAACACAAATAAAACAAAAGTAATGGCTGTTACACGTGCACCAAATGTCGACATTACTATTCGTATCTATAACAAACATATAGAACCAGTACAAAGATTCCAGTATCTTGGTTGCTGGACAACAAACGATCTGAACCACGAGGTCGAAATACGTGCTCGTATAGAATGTGCTAGGTCCGCATTTCAACGAACGAAAAAATTCCTAATAAATTCTACGTTATAGTTGGATATCCGATATCAATTTGTAAAAACGTTTATTTATTCCATATTGCTATACGGAGTGGAAACATGGACTCTCGGAATTACAAGCATGAGGCGTATAGAAGCCTTTGAGATGTGGCTTTTTCGAAGGACGCTGAAGATCTCTTGAACAGAGCACGTGACCAACAACGAGGTGCTAAGAAGAATGGGTACTGAAAGAGAACTCCTAAATATTGCAAAAAACAGAAAAACGAGTTATCTAGGACATATTTACACGAGAAAAATACAACTTCCTACGACTTTTAATGGAAGGGAAAGTGGAAGGAAGAAGAGGTCCAGGAAGAAGAAAATGCTCCTGGTTGAAGAATGTAAGAGACTGGACAGGTATGGACACACATTCGATACTAAGAACAGCTCAAGATAGAGAGCAATTTGATGTAGTTATAGCCAACCTTCAGTAATGGAGAAGGTACCTTAAGAAGAAGATTGTTACATGGCACCAAGACATGGGCTTTGGAGGCTGATACGATCAATCGCTTGAGGCGTTTGTGATATGGTTGCATAGTAGAATGCACCGAATACCCTGGACAGCGATGCAGCCCAACGAAACTGAGTAAATGGAGCAAATGACGTTCATGAGTTTTTGAAAACTATTAAAAGAAGACAAATTTAATACATAGGGTTTGTTCTTGGGAGAGACCGGTACAGAATCCTTCAGCTTATCATGAGGGTTGCAGAGGAATTGGAAGGAAGAAGATTAGCTGAAGGTCGTGTACAACTCGCAAATGTAATTGCCAAAGTAGGGGACCTAATAGGGCACCGAAATAAGAAGAAGCAGATCATACAATGATGTACAATTCAGACCCACACAATTCAGTACCCACAAAAAACAACACGTCTACTTTTAAATTCTTCTTAGAACTATAATCACTCTTCAATGGTAGTGGTTAAGGGTTTTGGACTTTAATGCCACACAGTGTGTACTTGTAAAAAGAACGTAGGAATTACTTTTTTCAGAAGCATAGATAGTGAAGATAGAAAAAAATTAAATTATTTATAAAATAACGTTTTTTTATAAATACTTTTACTTACTTATGTAATGGCATTCCTTGTTTAATCCATGTCTCACATAACTAGAACACATTTCCGGTGTGATCATTGAACCTTCTGCTCGAATAAGCTCTACTATTCCATCACTGAATTCTTGCGTAAAATTTTTTCTGCAGATGTTTCCTTAAGTTGTAAATATTTATGTGGGAGATTTCAAAATCCACTACAAAGCTTGAAATTACGCCGCTAATGAACATGCAGGTAATTACCTATAAGACTGGGTTCAACTCGACAACCTCCAGCTAGCCTTGGACGCAAAAGTCAAGGGTGCGTTTGAATCAGCGTGCGTTTGAAACAATCGAGATCAACCACTTCCGCGCTCAAGAAAAGTCTATATCAAGTTGAAGCAAATGAGACCGAGACCGAGCACCGAGACCTCGATGAAAATTTAATATAGGTTAGGTTAGGTTCATCATCATCATTGGATCTACAACCCATAGTGGGTCTTGGCATTTTCTAGGATTAGCTTCCATTTCTTCCTGTCCTTCGCCTTGTTTTTTTTTAATTTCGTACTGTTAATACTTAAATCGTACTCTGGACCTGCCTCTTCTCACTCCATCCGGTCTTTGGTTGTAAATGTATTTCGACGGCTTCAGTCGATAGTTCTCTTCAAGTGGCATAGCCACCGCAGCCAGTTTATTTTGATAGACCTACCAATAGTAGATTCACTATAAATGCGGTAAAGCTCAAAAATATAGCGCCTAAGCCATAATCCGTTTTCCTGCACTCCTTTATAAATATGTCTGAGGGTTTTACGTTCAAAACAGCTTAAACGTTCTTCATCGCTCTTTGTCATCGTCCATGTTTCTGATGCGTAAGTAAGGACGGGCTTGATAAGAGTTCTGTATATCAATATTATGTATTCTTTTTGCTGTTGCTTCTTATGTGTTAACAATTGGAGAGGTCCGCCTTTCTTCTTGCTAACATATCGATATCATCCGCATACGCTAGTAGTTGTAAACTCCTCTTAATAATGGTTCCTCTTGTTGTTATTCCAGATTCTCTAATAGCTTTCTTTAGAATAATGTGGAATAGAAAGCACGATAGGCTCCCTGTCGAAGTCCTATTTGTGTTTGGAAAATTCTTGATACTCCGTTCTGTACTCTAATCTTGCACTCGACTGTTGAGAAGATTGCTTCTAGCAATTTCACTAAGTGTTTTGTGATACCAAATTCTGCCATGGCTTTGAATAGTACGCTTCTGTCTACACTGTAATAGGCACATCTAAAATCTAAAAACAAATGGTGAGTATCAATTCCATACTCATACGTTTTCTCCAAATCTTGTATTAGAAGGAATATTCGATATAAAGTTAATTTTTCTTTGCGAAGCCCACACCGGTATTTGCCTATTATGTTTTCAGAATATCCTGAGAGTCTAATTTTTTGTGGATAGGTACAATTATATCTACGTTTCAGTCTTCTGGTAGTTTTACCTGCTTCAAAATCGGTTCTACTAGCCTACTTATACAGCAGATCACATTTTTTGATCATGTTTTGAAATTTCGGAAGGAATACCATCTGCTCTAGAAGCTGTTCTTTTAATTTTCGTATTTTCTTTCGATATCTTTCTCTCTTTTGTCTTCCATGCCTTTAAACTGGATTTCTGCTTCTTGCAACCTTATCCCACTTCTTGTATTTTAATAATCTAGGTTTGAATTCCATTCAGTTTTGTGTGTTATACTTCTCTAGCTCTTTTAGCTAGTTTTCTATATGCATCTTCTCCTTTTTTTCAGTATTCGTTTTTCGTCTCGTCTCAGCTGCCTATACTCTTCCTCCACGTATCTCGATCTTCGTCCTTGGACCCTTGTATATGCTTGGATTTTTCTTTGCGTTGCTTGTGCACATTGCTCATCGTACCAGCCCGACTTCTTTATGTCAAGCTTTTGTCTTCCAAACACTTCAGTTGCTACCTCTTCGAATATGGTTCTACACTGACTCGGATAGATACATTACATGCTTAGGAAAGTCCATAAAATAGATTCCAGCAGAAATCAGCAACTGGGCTCGATTTAGAGAACAATCTTCACTTATACTATATACATTGAAAACATAAAGAGGGTAATATGTGATAAAATATGTAAATTAAGTTTACCAAAAACCAGATCAGTCATCAAAGTTGCCATAGTGACAAGGAACTAAAGAAGTTTAAAAGAAATGCAAATAACCATATAAATCGATGGAAGATACAATATTTAAATAATCCGTAAAACATCAAAAGAGGATTCTTAGATTACACCTAAAACACATTATACAATCTTTTGTAAACAAATATACCTAGTTGCCTCGGTAAGATAATACAACAAAACCATACCAATAAGAAACAACAATATGCAGATGATCGGTTTGCAGTATGATCCATACAAATACGGATGTTGACACAGGCTTAGTATTATTACTTTTTGTAGATTATTATTGTTTACCGTAGTATAATTGCAAAAGTATTTATTTACTTACCAGTAACCATCAAGATAGATCCGATACTATATCTTCCTGGTTTGTCATTGAGGATATCTACAATATTGCCCATCGATCCGTTGTTGGGCAATGGAGGTATTTCGAGGATTTGCGTGAAAAGGTTAAAAAGATCTACGGTGTGGAACGGAGCTACTTTGTGCTGTTTCTTGATTTTTGGTCCCCTGGCCATAAAAAATGGGTGCATGTCGCTTACGTTGTAGTCGTACCCGTGGACGCCGAATTCTGAGCTATTTGTTACTACAAACAATATAAATTTTTACTATTATTAAAGGAATATGATATAATATCCATAGTATCGAAAATTAAAATCTAGGAAATAGAACAATTGCCGAGAAGAAGAATTGGATCAAAATAAATATATATCTATACAAATTAGTTGGGTTCGGATCCAACAGAAACTTCTTTCCTTCTCAAATATTTGAACGACTACTACAAGAAACGAATAATTTTATCTGATAATCTAATGCCAAATTATTAATTTGGTTTTCGGGAAAAAACATTATACAATTCAGCAATTTTATAAAATAATAAATATAATGAGAAATAGTCTCACACAACAGCATTTCTATTTTAGCCTTTTTAGACATCCAGCAAACATTTGATAAGGTGTAGTACGAATGATGGTTATTAGATCAAGACTATGAAGTAAGTTATAGTTACTTACGTGTAAAATTAAATTTCTCAGCATACTCCGGTGCACTTTTAATTAAATCGTCTAAAGCGTAACCCACATCGGCCATTACCAGAATGGGCGGAGATCGTGAACATTTCTTGTAGTGCCACTGTTTTGGATAATTCTTCTTTTGATAGACTTTGAAGTGTCCGTTTTTTAAAGAACCAGCTTTTAAAGCGTCATAAATTTCTTGTTCATGACCTGAAAACGTTGTGAGCGTTCAAGTATGTTAAGAAACAACAAAATTTTAAAATTAACTTTTATTAGTATATTTTACCAACATACGATATATACAAATTATATTAAAAAAAAACTCCTTCAGCGTCGTTCACTTCATATCCTTCTAAAGGGGCGAATCCAGATATGGGATGCACAGATTAACACAAAGATAAGCCAGGCGTATAGTGCTGACAATAGAAAAGTAATCGAGGAGCTAAAAGCAGATACTGTAATAGGGCAACCCATCGATACCACAGCTACGAGATCAATAAATTCAAAATTAATACACCAGGCAGGAAAGATTGGAAGGAGAGTGTACAACCACAAAAGCGGAAGCTACCTGGTACAGCGATGGCTCAAAACATCGGAGGGTATAGGAGCTGGTATAGTAGAAAGGGATGCATTTCCCGCTAAGTCTATCTAAGGATATTACAATTTTCCAAGCGGAAATAACGGCAATCAATCATTGCGTAAGGCACTCAAGGCAGCTCTTAAAGCGCTCAATTCTGTAGATGTCAATTCTAATTCTGTAGATGTCAATTCTAAGTTAGTATGTAATTGTGTGGGTGCCCTAAATAAAATCTGAGAATGTAGCTGTTAGGTAGCCTGTGAGCTACCTGTGAGCTACAAAGCAATGAAAAATCAGATGAAATGGCCAAACAAGACTCATCAATGCTATTTGTTGGATCGGAACTCTTTCTCTGTCTCTGCCTTTTTCTATAAATAACAAAAATTTGTTATAGAAAAGGACAGCAAATACAAAATAAGTGATTGATGTGACCGTTCATGGGTAATCTTTCATTTTTCCGACTGTATAAGTTGCAATAATTTTAGTAGTTGTCAAATCAATACATTTCCGTAAATATTTAAACATACCAATTGTAAAGCCTTGCCAATAAAAAACATACCAGACTGCTACATGGATCAATTCTTATTATTTCTGGCCTAAGTTTTTTCTCAGTTTACTTACAGGGTTAAAAAGCCTTGGAAACAATTTAATCTGGCAACTGTGTCGGTTCTTTTATCAGCGTCTGGCAACGCCCCATCTAACTTGAACGTTAAAATCAGGTCAACAAAAGCCATAAAAACTCGATTTGTTGACTACGCTAGTTAGTCTAACCTGCAATTATAAAAATGTTGTATATTCTTATAATGTTTATGGGATTGCTTCCATCAAGAGTTCCATATAGTGAAACTCTAGGGGTAGTTTACACCCCGCATGCGGTGGATTAACTCGAACTCACTGGATACTCATAATTACTTTATTGGTTCTCTAAGTACAGTAATAGAGAGAGTACCCAGTTGACGGATGACAACACTAGCTTCGACTGTTAACTCTTAATTCTACATTCTTTTGAACTTTGAATCAACCAATTGAACGTGACACCAAGCTCCGCTTGGTACTTGTCCCCCGTACTATATTATTCCAAAGCGACCTCACTAAATTATAAATATTTTTAGTAGCCGTTCTACTCTATATAAGCCGATACGAAGTTTTATCCGCCCTTTTCGATCTTAACGCTACAATCATTCTTAAATTGGTAAGTGTCTTGGCCGTATACACGAGTAATTATCTTTTCTAGTTTTGGGCCTCTGTTTTTTACTTGTTTTATTTGGCGTGGCAGATACTTTCTTTCTTAAAATAAAGCTGAAATCATTTTAACTTTAATTTTTTTACTATACATATGTACTTGTGTTATCTTATTTTCTTTAATATCTTATTAATAAAAATCTTTTCCTACAAATTTATTTTTACTAATGCCACGCTGTGATCAGAGATTTTGCTGAGATCGTTTCTCTCTGAATACTCAGCTTTATTTCTGATCAGGCTTTTCTTTTGGGAGAAAACTGATCTTTGTTTGAATTTTCTAGCCACTACCGTGGGGAGCAAGAAAACAGCCAACCACAATACCTTGGGCAATAATTAGCAACCACCTACAAATCCACTGATGCATCAGAACGGAATTTGAAATCCATGTACTAACTTGGGACGAAAATGATTGCCATTATTTAGGCAGCAACTCCCCTTAAACCAACGAACAACCACCGAGAGCAGCTAGATTCCACAAAGATCGGAACCCTTCCTGAAAGACTTAACAACTCATTCAGAACAAAATAAAGCTAAGTACTTTTTTTATATTTTAGGTATTTGATACCGGCAACCGGCATAATCTTTGAGTCTCAGTTTAATTTATTTTTGTATCACATTCACAATGTAAATTCTGTTTGATTTTATCTAATAAATAAATATACCTTTGTAATGGCTTAATAAGTATTTTTATTTCCTGTACCTTTCTGGGATTGGTGTAGAGAGAGAATGGACAGGGAACGAACCCAGGGCTGAGCAGTCGGGCAGAGCACCATTCTGGTGGATGGAACGGTGGGCATTTTTCTCTGGAATATCCTTAGGTATATTCGAAGAATTTCTCCCCTCGTTTCTTCCCGCAGTATGGTGTTGCTTAACACCCTGGTCTTAATAAGATTAGACGTTACAAATAATAATGATCTACTACCGTTATTTCCCAGGTATTTAATTCACGTGTGTTTGTTTATATAATAATGTGTTATTAATAATATTTGTACACATTATTTAATAAGCTTTTAATCACATTGCAAGTTTCACTAGGTCAGCGCGTGTTTTTTAAAATTACATGTTACATTTTTAAAATTTAGTAACTTTTAAAATTTTTGCATTATTCGACTTATACTATTGTAACAGTCAATATTATCTATAATTACCTTCCTTAGGGTAAATTTGTAAACATGGACTAGCTCCAGCCATATCGTAAGTTCCATCTTTCATGTACTGAGTCATATTTATGAAATAGGGAGGAGTCACACCCACTAAACCATGGTCACTCATATGAATCACGTTCGTTCTATCAGCTAACTTGTATTTTTCCAATTGGTCCTAAAAGAATTAACTAAAATTAACATATATGCTTCATATAACTATGACTTGTAGAATAACAAACGCAATCGCGGGGTGTTTAGAACTAAGTTGCCCTCACAGTCCCCTAGTAGCTATTAGATTAATTTTTTGTTACTAAAGATGTTAAATTAAGACATACTGTCGAAAATTTTGCCATATTATCGATTTTTTCAAAATTCAAGACATACACAAGGACAAGTATTTTGGCCATTAAAAAAAAATTATATGCATAATTATTCCGACTTGCCACTAAGCACTTAAAACTGTCGATAAGAGTGCTAGTTTAATATAACCTTGAAATCCAGGTGAGCTCCAGATAAGAAAGTAACGTATAGTTACCGGACTCACCCAACCAGTGGCGCATCCGAAGGGGTTTGGGGGTTAAACCCCCACGGCTCTATTCCGACACTGTTACTCACAAATGTTAAGGACTTGAAATGGTGGAGGTAGCATAAAAAAATTTCGGTGCCCAACCAAAACCACCCCCCCCCCCAGAGAAAAATTCTAGGTGCGCAACTGTATCCGACAAAGGAACTTCGGAAATGATCGTTTTGCCGGCATATATCTGCAATTACTGCTAAGAGTTAGTATTATCTGTTATTTGCAATCGCTACTGTTTCATTGCCATGATTTACTTAATAATCAATCGGTGACAATCTTGCGTTGGTTAAAGAAACTTTGTTTTATCTTCCGTCTATAAACAACCTCAAAAACGGAGACTTGTAACGGACAATAATTCGACAGAAGAGATTTATAAGTTAAATAGACAACAGTAATAGTGAAGAGAAACAATAAACTAAAATCGCCGATCGAGGACATTGAACTGCGTGAAACCTGATTGCGACGTTACCGATGTGTACAGAAAGTCCGAAAGTCGTAAAAATAGAATAGATTTAAACAAAAATAAATTTTAATGGCTATTTAATTATAACGCATATACTGAAATTATTGAAAAGACAGGATTGATATTGAGATTGACTGATCGTTAAGGTGGAAATAACTCCTTCCGGAGTCCTGCTGCTTGCAAAAGATGGAAACAGACGGCGAAATGGGTACGTTAGATTATGGAAAAAGGAACGAAAGGAACATCTTATTTTATGAAGAGTAAGAAAACAATAAGATTCCCTCCTAATCGAAAGAGAAAATATGAATCTACGAGCGATGATGAAGGTGATGCATACTTACTACGAGAAATGTACAAAGGGCTGAGAAATAATAAAAGAGAAATTATAAAAAAGAGAATATAAAGAAGAGAGATAAGTCAATATGGTCGCCAACATCTCCAGAAGATAGGCACATTTAGAAGAACATAAAGAAGAGATAATAGAATTAAAAAAGTCAGAGCAGAAATTAAATAAGGAAGTAGAAAAAAGACCAACGTCTAAATAAGGGGAAGAATAGATTGGAAAGGCTTGAAAAGGAATCGGAAAGAAGCAATATTGTAATAACTGGATTAAAGGTTGATACAGATTAAGAGAAAATAAAAGAAGATATGACAAATTTTATTAGAATACACTCAAACGAGGAAGTAAATGTATAAAGAGTAAGACAACTAGGGCAGAAAACTTATTTGTACAAATCAGAGAACTCGTGAAAAAAATAGAATTATGCAAAAAAAGTGAGCTGAAATAGTTAAAGGGAGAAAAGGTATAGGGAAAGTGGTAAAACTGTAAAGTAGGATTTAAAAAGATTACAGTATACGAAGAGGAATGAAGATGGAAGAAAAGACATTTTTAAAAATATTCGGATACAAGAAAATGAGCAAATGACAAATTCGTTAAACTTTCAATGCTCGAATCGGTATCAATAAAGTGTTATGAATCATTTCGGTCTATCCTAGCCTCATCAGACACTTGGGCTGATCCAAATTCAAACTCGGAAAGTCCAACGAAATTGTCCTAAAACTTCACCACTGCAGTGGTTAGCATACAGAGGCACCACCTGCTTTGGCGAAATGAACGAAAACGATATAATAATATCGTTTTCAGTTCTCTGGGCTATGCGAAATGTGTAAATAGTGTAAATGTATGATAGTAAGTGGGGTATCAGAAGACAAAAGAGCAGATGCAGGTGTAGGTTGTATAATACATAAAAGACTAGAAAAAGGGATATACTTCTGGAAAGCATGATCATAGAGATTACTACGAATAAAAATAAATGATAACGAGAGTAGCCGTATATAAACTATTATAGTAGTATATGACCCAAATGGAAATTATAACGCATAAAGCAAAGACGAATTTTGGGGAGAGCTAACGTTTGCAACAGTTTACAACTAGTTACAAGGAAGAACTAGAAGGACGAATAAAAACGTTAAATTAGTTACAAGGAAGAACTAGAAGGAGGAATAAAAACGTTAAGGTATGAAAAAGCACTTAGAGTGGATATAAAACACCAGAAATTATAAACATGGAACAAATGGAGAACAAATATTTTTAGACATAATGAACAAAATATGGAAGGATGAAGACGCAAACTTTGGAAAATACCAAGAGAAAAAGGAATGGACAACAAGCTACTAAATATGATACAAAGTGAACAACATTGGGGAGGAGCACTTAGCCCAACACTATGCCTAATATTTATGGACGAAATTATTAGGAAATGCACAACAAGGAGTAAAAAGGGTGAGTGTAGGGTATAGAAATCTGCGAAGACTAGAAATATCGGAAGGAGTAGTTGCTGACGATTTGGTGCTAATTGCAAACACTGAAAAAGAACTTAAAACAGAATAATTTGAAAATATGGAAAGAAGTGCTCACTAAAAACGGAAAGAAGAAAAATATTAACCAAACAAAAGTTATGCAGATATAAGAATAAGTTAAAACTTTTACATACTTGGGAGTATTTATAGAAAAAAACAGATCTCTAGAAGCAGAAATCAATAGCAGAATAGAGAAACTACTACAACTGTATCATATAATGAACAAAAAATTTATATGCAGAAAATAAATATGAGGGAACACAAAAACGAAAGGTTTTAAGACCAAGCAGTTTCTAGACCTGTTATTACTTTTAGCAGGGAATCATGGTATCAAGTTAAAGATACAATAAGGAACATATATAAGGAACAAACTGAAAATACAATCCACATTGAAGTTTATAGAACAGCGACAGCTGAGATGGTGGGGTCATTTACTCCGGATGAAAGATACCATACGAGTGAGGAGAGTGTGGGAAGCAAAAATATTGAAAACCACAAACAGAGTCTTACACTATGGTAGACAGGTTTTTGATTGTATAAATACTTAATAATTGCCGCTAAAAAAATTCTTTTTTTTTTTTCAATGTGACGACATTCACCATAATTACCGTTTATACTATACTAACGAATATTTATTTTGGTCTTTTGAAGAAAAAGAGGCTAATGGATTGTAAACTTAAATAATCTGCATACACAATAAACATGTTATCAGAAGTCCAAGTATAAACTATGGCAGGGTCAATTTGATCTTAAAAACAAAGAAACACTGCGTTTATAATCGTAATACAAATGACCTTTAATCTAAAATACACAGAAGAAAGTTGCAGTCGATTTTATTTATTCGTGTAATAATAAAGTGTACTTCCTGAATGTGTAATTATTATTATTTTTATACGCTGACTAGAATTTACGGGATCTTCAAGATTAAATATTTTGTTTTTATAAGTATCATTAATTATTATTAATTATTGAAAAATAGGGGAAACATTTTTCATACATCAATAGAATTTCCAACGCTTGTCTTTTCCCATTAATTAATGTAACAAGACAGTTGAGTTTGTATTCATTTTAATATCATGTGTATTTTCGGTCAGCACGAATAACTTTCTGACATAGTTCTTCAAAGGCGTTCTTGTTTGCCGACGTGTTCCTAGCGCAAGTCCCCTCAACGTGACTTAGAGGCGATAAAATATACCCCTGTCTTACTCCATGTATCTCCACTACTTCCGTTGTATTCTGAAAAAATTCGGAATAAATAGTTTTTGATGCTACGGAAGTTTTTGTCATTAATTACCATCTATCTGCAAGACATTCACAATTTGGCATGGTCAAAGACTTTCATCACATACCAAATAAATAAATTTTTTGCCTATCTGAAGCATAACTGTATGAAGGGAAAACAAGAATCGGTCTGAGTTTTTTTTTGTTATACTAATCTTTTTTCAGATTTTGTTGGGATTGAATATATATGTTCTACTAATCTAAATATGTCTTCCTATTTCTATTTAGTTTCCTTCGTTATTGACGGTAATATAAAGATATACAAAATTATTTCCACTTCATATCCGGAATTTTTTTGAGTACCTATACTGCTGTTCGTTCTGTCGATAATCATAACCTTTGCCTGAATAAATAGTTTTTGATGCTATTAAAGTTTTGGTCATTAATTCCCACCTGCAAGATATTCACAATTTGACCCGGTCAAAGACTTTCATCAAATGTCAAATAAATCAATTTTTTGCCTATCTGAAGCATAACTGTATGGTGGGAAAACAAGAATCGGTCTTAATTTTTTTTGTTATACTACTCTTTTTTCAGATTTTGTTTAGATTGAATATATATGTTCTGCTAATCTGAATATGTCTTCCTATTTCTATTTATTATCTTTCGTTATTGACGGTAATATCCAGATATACAAAATTATTTCCACTTTATATCCGGATTTTTTTTTTGAGTGCCTATACTGCTGTTCGTTCTGTTGATAATCATTACCTTTGCCTCCCTGAACATATGATGAGAATAGGTATATTTTTCGTTCTCCATTTTCTTTCTATTTTTCGCTTATATGTTCATGGCCTCCCATTTGTAACAATATTATTCCATCTTTCATATTCCACATTCCTCGAATAGTGCGATCTGAGAATGTCTACTTCAGTTTTGATCTTTAGCTGCATCTTAAGTGACCTACTTGTAACGCGTTTTAGAATTTTTAAAACTCATTTGGTGCTATGGAACTCCGTTATAGAGAACAGCAGCTAAATCCAGTATTGACATTAGAATGAAAGATCCTAATCGAAAGTCCTCCAAATGATAACTAATGGTACGTTCCAAACAAGACGATCGCAAGAGACCACAAAATGACAACTGTCAACAAAGAAGTTACCAAACTCTGCCAAAAATATGAACAGAGACTAACAGACCACCACAATAATATATCCCAAAATGTAAGGTCACAACCAATCGGACGCAGGCTCAAACGAAAGACCCAGCCGACCTATTAACTATAAACTAGTCGTAGAAGCCCAATAGAACCTAGAAGAAGAAACCCAACCAAACCTAAAGACATACGCGATACTACTCCAGTGCCAAGAATATACAGGAAATTGTCAATGGGCTATTTTCTACAAGGCATTTTTTCTTTAATAATATTTTAAATGGGCTATTTTCTTTCTACAATTTTTCTTTAATAATATTGACAATTTACTTATTGTATTTATACTACATATTGTAAATATATTGGGATTTAAAAAAAAAACAGATGTAACGGATTTGTAGCAAACCTATACCTTATATACATACCTCTAAATAAGCAGTTAAGTTGTCCAATTTCTGTAGCAATTCTTTGATCTGAGGTGCGTTAGGTCCAAAGGCGTGACCGTGAGTGTCAGGTTCTTCAACATAAAACATAACCAGATTAGCAGGCTTGTCGGCGTTTGTTAACCAAGTAAGAATCTAAAATAAAAAATACAATAATATAGTAATACAATATGTCATAAATGCAAGACCTGAACAAAATGTAGCTATTAATTCTGAGTACTATGTACGGACAAGACATTGGGCGAGTGACTTATAAAAATCAAAATACTGTCGGTTCATAATATTGTAAAACCTCTTATTACATGTTTACAATCTTTACTTTAATCAGCGGCGTTTCACCCCATTCATCATTTATTGTCTACTTCTAAAAATGGAATTTGTTTAAGTAATTGATTTAAAAATATGAAAATACGTAGGCATTCAATGTAAAACAAATGTATCGTGAATAGCTATTAAGGGTAGTTATGATTTTTTACCGCATTTATTAATAGCAATGGTATTTAAATAATTTATTCGGGAAATTAATCACCAAATCGATTGTTACTAAAAATGATTTTTATTCTAGTAATGAATTGGCGACTACTGTATTTTAGAAATTAGAATTAATAAATTCTTAAATAACTAAATTAATAATGAAAATTAAAATTATATTCTTTTATTTAAAATTTTCTTTATCGCATCTTGAGCCTTTAACAAAAACAACAAATATAGTTTAAAAAAAATTCATTACCATTATCTTTGCCTTATCCCTATGCGCATTTAGTTTCCTTGTTTCCTTAAGTTTCCTTAAATATCAATCTACTTCGCAAATATGTCCCGTCTAAGCGTTACACACCATATTTCTCTTCTACTACTTCCAGGAACTTTCAACTCAAAAGTTTTTAAAAAAAAGGGTCACTTTTTTTTTCGTCTTTATAGAGGGGGGGTCTGGAATCTTCAAAAGACATCTCAGTCCAGGACGCCGCCTGCCTAACCTTAGTGCAGGATTCGTTTTTTGTACTCCCGGCGATAGTTCCCGAGGTACTTTAAAATGCCCTCTCGTCGCCGAGTCTACGCCGAACGCCTACCTGCTAAACCAGACCCTCCTCTGTCATCCAGCGATCCGGAAGCGGAATGGCCGCTGTAAGGCCCGGCATCACTTCCGAAGCACTACCTTTATTCATTCATTCTCCATTCATACACATCCACACTCCTAGTGGTCCAACTGTCTTTCTTCCTCTTCCTTTTTCTTGATCACTGTACGGATATAACTGTGTATGTTAATCCAACCTAATTTATTTTCAATCATTCTCTCAATCATTTCTCTCACTGTAACAAAATTCATACCTGTCTCTCTCTCCATTCTGTTCCTTTCCACTATCCATCTGCTGCAATCTAACATCGTATGTGTCACAGTGTCCGAGTATCCACAATATAGGCATTCATCTGTATCAGCCTTTCCGATCCTATAAAGGTAGGCCCTAAAACACCCGTGTCCTGTGAGCACCTGCGTTAGGAAATAATCCAGTCGCCTGTGGCCACAGTCCACCCAAACTCTTATGTTCGGGATCAGCATTTTCGTCCACTGTGCCACATCTTCCGTATTGTTCCATTCTTCTTGCCATCTTACAACTGACCTTTCCCTTACCTGTCTTCTCTCAGCCACAGTAAGGTTTGGGCCTCTAATCTCATAAAGCTCTTTTCTTTCCACCGTCAAAACATTCAACGGAATACATCCAGTGATGGTCCATAAGGCTGCCGCAGACACAGTCCTATAGGCGCATGCCACTCGCAACAGACTTGTTCTGTCTACTCGTTTCATAAGACTCCTATAGGCCGTTATCTCTACCGCCTCGCTCCAGACTGGTGCCGCGTCGAGGACGATGGACTGTACAACACTGTGTAAGACCCTCCTCCTTTCGGATTTGGGTCCTCCAATGTTCGGCATCACTCTCCCCAACGCAGCCGCACTATTCGCAGCCTTTCGGACAACCTCCCGAACGTGCTCCCCCCATTTTCCATTCTGGTGCAATGTCACTCCTAGATACTTTACTTGTTTCTTGGGTGTTAGACATACTACCGCACATTTTAATTCAACACCTTGCCTGTTCCTTGTCCCCTTCAGAATAATGGCTTCGGTTTTCTCTGTCGCAAGTTTTAGTCCATGCTGCGTCATCCATTTCTTTACGACGCCACCTGCGTTCCGAACCCGGTATTTGAGATCTGGCGCATCCCGGGCTACTACCAGTACAGCGAGGTCATCCGCGAATGCGAAGAGGGTTGTACCCTCTCCGTATTCACAGTGCATAACCCCGTCATATGCCAGATTCCATAGCGTCGGGCCCAAGACAGATCCCTGGGGTACCCCGGCCGTCACGTCCACGATCGTGCCCTTTTCCACCATAATCCTTCTATCGAACAGATACTCCGCCACAACATTCATCAGGTATCCAGGACATTCTCTCTCCTCCATTGCCTTCATTACCTCGTTCCACTGCAGCGTATTGAATGCATTCTTAACATCAAACAACAGCAGGGCCGCCCAGCGATGTTCATTCCCTCTGTTGCGCAATGCTTCGAGTACACTCATGATTGCAGCAATCGTGCTTTTCCCTTTACAAAAACCACATTGCCTCCGAGATACACCACCTGACCTCTCAATCATGTCGTCTATGCGTACTCGCAGCATCCTTTCATATAGTTTACTGATGCATGGAAAAAGACAGATGGGGCGATACTTCTCCCTAGCTTTGGGAATCAGTATTAACCTCGATGTCCTCCAAGGCTCAGGAAAGGTTTGTGCTTCCAGCAATGCATTCATATGTTTTAGAAGCCACGTAGGCTCCACCCGTCCTAGACCCTTCACCGCCTCAGGTGGTATATGATCCAGTCCGGGGGACCTACGAGTCTTGAGTGAACCCAGTGCCTCGACAAGTTCATCCATGGTAAAAGGTACAGCCCTCTCAGCTCCTTTATCCCTCCATACACCATGACATCTGCCGTCCGGCAAGAGCTCTCTTGTTACCTCAAGCTTCTTGTCCATAGGCATTTCGTAAGGAGGATACGCATGAAACTTCTTCATAACGATCTTGTATCCCTGACCCCAGATGTCCTCATCCAGTTTTTCACACAGCTCTTTCCAGTGCCTTCTTTTTTCTGTACGAATTTTCCTGTACAGTTCCCTCTTCCTTGCGCGGTACTCTTCCTCGATCTCCTCGATGACCTCAGGATTGATTCCTGCTCTGCCTCGTGCTCTTGTTAACCTTCTCATTGCTATACATACATTTCTTAGTGCCTCGATGTCCGCATTCCACCAATATGGCATCCTGTTGACATCTTGGCGACCAATCTTGCTTCCTTCCATCGCTTCTTTAATGACTTTCTCCAGGATTTCCACCGTCGGTGATTGACCCTCCATTATGCTCACTCTCCATTTACTTAGTTCCTCGTATACTTTCCAGTCATTCCTATTGCCGCATCTGCCCCCAGACGTCCCGGATGCACGGACCGTTTTAGTGGTCCCCGTTCCAGTTATCGAGAACTCGATGTACTGATGTTCAGTTCCGGTGTAGTCTGGCAAAACCTTCCAGCCTCTTGCTTTCGCCGCTATTCCTTGTGTCGCCATGGTCACGTCGATGTATGTACCTGTACCTCTCCTAACAAACGTAGGTTCCAGACCTGTGTTCAGAACCACTAGGTCTAGAGTACCCACCCAGTCAGTTAGTATCCTGCCGCGAGTATCGGTGATGGGAGATCCCCACTCCGCTGCTTTTGCGTTAAAATCTCCCAGCACTACGTATTCTCCTCCTGTGTTTACCACTTCCTGCATGTGGAAAAAAAAGTGGGTCACCTAATACATCGATTTTTAATTTTATGCCTTTTTTCACACCATTCACCCATCTAATCATTCTCAAATCAACCACACTCATTTGTTTTATTTTTAAATACCAATATTCAGTCCCATACATCATAGTTGATCTTTTGGACAATTTTTTAGAATTGTTCTTTTAGTTTTATTTCATCCACCCCACTCTAATTCTAATGCATACATTTCCACTTATTTCCCCATTACTCTGTAATACCGATCCAAGATACTTAAAACTATTCAGCTTTTCTCAATTATTTGACCATCCAAAGTTATCATCTAATTTATAGTACTAATTCAAGCTGTAAGTAAACATTGAAACATTGTAGATGTTCTGTTTCTGTTCAAGTTTAAAATATTTTTGTCAAACAGCTTTTCTTTACTGTTTTCCAGTTTTCGCTCCAAATTCTTTTCAATATTTCCTATTAATCAAACTTATTCTGTATTTTCGTGTTATCTAATCCAATACTAATGAGAATAACTAATGACCAAGCATTAATCTGGGTGTAATCCTACTTTCACATGAAATTTATCAGTCTCTCCCACACCTGTCCTAACCCTATTTGTTACTCCCTTTATATATATATATATATATAATATATATATATATATATGTATATCTCAAAATCTGTACATAACCACCTGAAACTCCTTTCTTAAAATCAATCTTTATTCTATACAAGTGGTGTCAAAGTTTTGATATTTCATTTAGATAAATCTTTTTCAATAGGGAGCGACTAGAACTGTCAGGTTGCTTGGGGAAAAATATTTCGCAATTAGCGATATACATGGTAAAAATCTTCTTAATTCATTAGAAGATTTGAAATTATTTTAACTCAGGAGAAGAAACTTTGATTCCTAACATTATTCGACTCATAAATTAGGGTTATCCCGTAATTTGAATTAATTTTAGAAATTATTCTTTTTTAACTATTTTCTTTCTTAAAAGAAATGTTGTTGCTCTTTCGACGGGCGTTTGAGAGAAATAGAGCCCCTTAGCATAATTCCTAAAAACTATTATCAGCATAGTTTTTGTTTCTGTGGTTTTCTGTTAGAAAATGGCCACGGTCACCGCAAAACTACGAGAAACGTTGGTGTAAATATCTCAAGTGTACAACGAGTACGGCGACGTGACGGTACGATGGGAAAGGTGTGCTTATTCGAAGACTTGGTTCAGGTTGAGTTAGAATTACAATAGCTAAAGATGACCGCTTTGTCGTTTCTAGTGCTTTGAGATATCGAACGGTCACGGCAGTTTCTCTTCGAAATTATCTGCAAGAAGTAACAAATG